GCGTAGTCAATAAAGCACAGGTAAACATCTTTCTGGTATTCTCTGCTCTCAGCCAAGATCTACCAGACATCAGCAATGATAATCTCTTGTTCCACGGCCTCTTCTGAATCCAGCTTGAACCTCTGGAAGTTCTCTGTCAATGAATGCTTGCAGCTGTTTCTGTATTACCTTTAGTAAAACTTAACTCGCATGGGATATCTTTCAATATTTCAAGTCGAGGCTTGAATTTTTTTCTGTAATTCTCTCAGCTTGGGAAATGCTGAGCTTGTTCTTCCCATTTGGTTTTCTAACTCGCAGTCCTTGCACATTTCATCATGGTCAACTCTACTTTGAAGAAGGTATCTCTTCCCCAGCAGTACTTTGAGTGCCTTCCAACATGAGGAACTCATCTTTATGTACCATAATATCTACCATTCATAGGGTTCTCAGTGACATACCATTCAGGAGTAGTCCACCTCTCCTTCTTCCTAGTCTATTTTAGTCTGGAAGCTCAGCTGAAACCTGTCCACCATGGGTGACCCTGCTGGTATTTAAAATTCAGTGACTTAGCTTTCACCATTACAGAAACACACTAAGCACCATATGATAAACTGACAGATGAATGGTGGTTGCAGTTAGTAGTCCATTGCTTATCTTACAGTGCCACTAGGACTTTTTAGATTATGTAGATTATGACACAGCTATAAAAAATTGCAAACTACCTACACACATACCAACATGATGAATATAAAAAATATGCTGAGTGAAGAAGCCAGACACAAAAGAGCTTACTTCATGGATATGAAACTCACAAGAAGCAAATCTATAGTGATAGTGGTCAGATCAGCAATTGCCTGAGGCTAGTGGTCAGGGGTGGGAGCACTAAGTGGGAAAGCCTTTTATGGTGATGAAAATGTTCTCTGTCTTGATGGTGGTAATGGTTGCACAGATGAGTACATTAGTCAACAGGCAACAAAGTGAACACTAGAAATGGATGCTTCTTATTGCACAGTAAAACCTGCGAAAGCCAAGACCTATATAAGGCGGAAACCTGTCAGAGAAGAAAAACACAAACATTTTCCACTAATACAAAGTGACAGAAAAGTGGCCAGGCAGTATCCGGTCAAAGGCAGGAAACTTGTGAGACCTGGAAGAAAAACTAAGTCATTTCAGCTCTTACAGGTTTCACTACACATAAATTGTTGTTGTTAAGTACCGTGGAGTCGGTTCCGACTCATAGCGACCCTGCACAGGGTTTCCAAGGCTATAAATCTTTATGGGAGCAGAAAGCCTCATCTTTTTCCTGCAGAACAGCTGGTAGTTTCGAACTGCCGACCTTGAGGCTAGCAGCCCGATTCATAACCACTACAGTACCAGAGCTCCTTATACCTAACTAAAACTGATTTTTTTCAAGACACTGCTCTGAGTTCTCTAAATGCCTGGACGCCAGGTCATTAGCCAGCAAAGCAGAGTGATCTCTGAGAGTGTGACCCTGCCGTGTGTCATCACAGGAGGTATGATGAGGAGACCAGCGAGGATGAGGCAGCAGCGGAGGAAGAGGAGGGAGAGGAAGACGTGTTCACTGAGAAGGCCTCACTGGATATGGATGAGTGCCCAGCAGCATTAAAGGTAGAGAGGGCTGGGTGAGGGGGCAGGGGGCGCTATATCTGGGCAGTGGTGATCAACCCTCAGAGCATGGATAGCCCACAAAGGTTTGGGACAAGTTCCTAGGAGACAGGTCCTCGGATGGGGTAGCTTGCAGAAGGCTATATGGGAGTATCCCTATCTGTCCATTGGATCATTTCAACGGCAACAGTCCAGCCTTGCCTCTCTCATCTCTCCTGCCCTCTGCAGATCCCTGATTCTCTGAACAGAATGCAAACTTTGCCATCAAATGGGTCTGATTTCAAATCCTGCCTCAGCTACTTTCTTCCTCTACAGTCTTAGGCAGATCACTGCATCCTTCGGGAGCCAAACCTACTAGCCCCTCTGCAGGAGAAAGATGTGATAGTCTGTTTTTATAATTTTGCAACCTTGGGGCACTTCTGTTTTGTCCTACAGAGTCCTTATGAGTCAGAATGAATTCTTCAATGGCTTCAAGTGGGCATGATGGGTTCTAAAGCTTGGAAGGAATGGATTTCTTCATTTGGGTCTGTCCAAGTGCAATTGGCAAAGGGATTCCAATCAAGCTCTCTTTGTGTCCTGCTCCCCCACTGCTCTAGGGCTGCATGCTCTAACAGGACTCACTCCCCGTGAAGCTCCCTCTGTTCTTTCCACCTGCTGGAACCCCTGGAAAGAGAGCGCCCTGTTTTGCTTAAGCAGGGCACCTGCAGGTGGAGGTACAGGCTGTGCATCTCACAGAGGTGCCCAGGTGAGACACCTGGAAGAGAACTTGGGGCCTTCTAACTACTTCACACCAAGTAGACTTTTATTTAAAAATCCTCCAGCCAGAAAGGTACACACCTTTTTCAAAATCGCACCAAGGCTCTATTTAGTTTTACCTTTTGGTGTATTTGTGTATCCTCTACTGGTTGACTCTAGTGAAGGAAAGCAGAAAACCTGATGACCCAGTTTTTAAAACTTTGACTGATTGCATCCATAATGGCAAGAAATCATCTGCAATCTTGGGGAGGGCAGCAGAGGCCTTGGGTGTACCTCTATCAAAATTTGTTTGGCACACAAAACTCCAGGAGGTGAAGTCCAGAGCATCAGTACATGAGTTAGGGCTACTGCTCATGTGATTTTGTGTGTGAATGTGCTCCCACTAGCTCCAACCACAAGTATCATTGGGAAGGGGACCAGCACATCTGCCCTTCAATGCCATCCTGGCTGGGCTGAGCTGAATTCATCAAACAGCTAGAACCGAAGAAGCTCCCAGCTCTGTCTGTGGACCAAAAAGTGAGGGGTAGGAGCTGCTAGTGTCCATGGGTCTTGGGTGAGTGACTAAGGACTTGTAGAGACTGGTGGTCTCAAAGTTGTGACTTCTTCCTCAGGTGGACAAAGAGACCAACACAGACACACCAGTCCCATCCCCGACTGTGGTGCGGCCCAAGGATCGGCGGGTAGTGAGCACCCCATCCCCAGGGCCATTTCTTCGAGGGAGCACCATCATCCGCTCTAAGACTTTCTCCCCTGGGCCCCAGAGCCAGTACGTGTGCCGGGTAAGCAAGTGTATACGTCACCTGAGTCTTGGGCTTAAGTAATATGTTTGTGAATATACTTCCTTCCCTTCCACCTTATGTTGTTGTTGTTGTTAGTTGCCATCTAGTCAGCACCAACTCATAGTGACCCTATGTAAAACAGAACGAAACACTGCCCAGTCCTGGGCCAACCTCACAATTGTTGCCACGCTTGAGCCCATTGATGCTGCCACTTGGCCAATCTATCTTGCTGGAGGTCTTCCTCTTTTTCTCTGACCGTCCACCTTACCAAACATGATATCCTTCTCCAGAGACTGGCCCCTCTTGACAATATGTCCAAAGTATGAGAGATGAAGTTTGGCCATTCTGGCCTCCAGGAAGCACTCTGGCTGTACTTCTTCCAACACAAGCATCTTGGTTCTTTTGGCAGCCCATGGCTTGGGTCAGGCACACCTTAATCCTCAAGCTGACATCTTTGTTCAATCCTTTAAAAAGGTCTTGTGCAGCAGATTTTCCCAATGCAGTACACTGTTTGATTTATTGACTGCTGCTTCCATGAGTGTTGATAGTTGATCCAAGAAGAATGTAGTCCTTGACAGCTTCAATCTTTTCTCCATTGATAAGAATGTTGTTTATTGGTCCAGTGGTGAGGATTTTTGTTTTCTTTACATTGAGATGCAATCCATACCAAAGGCTGTGCTCTTTGATCTTTATCAGTAAATATTTTAAGCCCTCTTCACTTTCAGCAAGCAAGGTTGTATCAATTAAGTTCCGTCAAATCGATTCCATCTCATAGTGACCTGTATAGGGTTTCCAAAGAGCAGGTTTGGAAACTGACCTTGCTATTCAAACCACCCTTGTGTTCCATCCAGTGCGTATCCTACAGCACCACACTAGGACTCCCCTCTACCCTATAGAGCCATTAAACAAGAACTAAAAGTATAAAGGACTTCTGGTGTGGCATGGTTGGATAAGCACTGGACTTTGAACCACAAGGTCAGCGGTTCAAACCCACCAGCTGCTACTTGGAAACCCTATCAGGTTCACCAACAACAATAGAAGCATAAAGAGCATTCCAATAAAGTCGCCACAGAAATTGAGACGAAAAGCACCTGTGGAACTTTACCTATGTTAACCTTCCCTTTACTTGTCTCTTGTTATGAGAGGGAGGAGGTTCTCAGTATCTTATTCTTGTTGATAGTGCTGTGGAGTCAGTTCCAACTCATAGCAACCCTGTATAGAATTTCCATGGAGCAGCTGGTGTGGATTTGAATCACCAACTTTGCAGTTAGAAGTCCAGTGCTTAGCCTACATCACCACACCAGCACTCCTCTTCATATCTAGGACCTACAATTATAACATTGAGAAGCTGACTTCTCATAACTTGAAAATTTTCACTAATTTCTTAGCTGTTACTGTTATTGTTAGCTGTCATCGAGTCATCTCCCAATACTTGGCTACCCTTCTTCACACAATGGAATGCAATTTTGCTTGGTCCTGTACCATTTCCACAATCAGTTGCAAATTGGACTGTTGTGATCCATAGATTTTTTCACTGGCTGATTTTCAGAAGATTGCCAGTCCTTTCTTCCTATTCTTAGTCTGGAAGTTCCACTGCAGCCTGGTCACAGCAATGTGCAAAGCCTCCACTGACAGACAGGTGGGGGTGTGCTTGAGACACATTGAGCCAGGGTGAAATCCAGGTCTCCTGCCCCTTCAGTTTCATTCCCACTCCACATTTCTTGCCATGCCTCCCAATGATAACCTAAGCCCCTCCCTTTCATGTCAAGTCCCTAGCTAATTGTTTGCAGTTGTGAGCATCTGAGAAGGTAATCTAGCACAGTATGTGTTGGCTGTAGACCTTATAAAAGGCACCGGATTTCTTGAAATCGCTGAACATTATGTTGGGGGAATTCCTGAATCACAGGTGAAGGATCTTGCAATTAAACCCGCTCAGAAGTGAAGAAGAGAAAAATTCAATCAGTGTTTCAAAAGTGAATAATTTAAAGGATTTAGAAAAGCCCTTAGGATAATAGATAAAACTCTGTTTTTTTTTGCAAAAAGTACTGCCTTTAGGTATGAGCAGTGGAAATCAAACACAAGTATAGAATGTCATTCGTCAGGAGAATCACACTAAAAGAAATTAGTGCTTAATTTTTTTTTTTTTATCATAACTAGAAGGTGGTTGTAATTTTGTGAAACGGAAACTATAAGATAGCGTCGCTTTTCTAAAGTGTTTTTTTCTTTTCAAAGGCTCAAACTCCCGCAACCACCACCACCACCAATATTTACTATCAAATGCTGGTTTCCTGTTTAAACAAATTCACTTTTCTTTCCAGAATTTCATCCTTGGATAGCAAGGAGCTCCAGTCCCATCTGTAGCATGCCTGCACTACACAGGGTACTTCACGTGTTTTATTCTCAGTATTACTTAAAATGACAAGGCACTGGTAGCTCAGGTTTAGCGCCCAGCCATCTACCTCCTTCTCAAGTGGAGGATAGCATGGTGCTGTGATGCTGAGCAGGTTTCAGCAGAGCTTTCAGACTAAAACAGACTAGGAAGAAAGGCCTGGCCATCTGCTTCTGAAAACCAGCTGATACAAACCCTAGGGATCATAACAGTGCCATCTGCAACCAGTCATGGGGATGGTGCCGGACCAGACAGTACTTGGTTCCATTATTTATCAGTCAGGGTCCTACTTGATCACAACTAGCAACAGCATCAGTTAAGATGCTTTCTTTTTTCTAACCCTGCAAGGCTGCACATTGAGAGATTCCCAATCAACATGCCGCAGGCCGAAAGTATCTCTGTTAGCAATGCTGTATTTTTCCTTCTTTGCTCTCCAACTGGCCTACTATAACCCAAGCTTTCATGTAAAATCTTACTAAGGGTTCCAGGAAGCAACCAACAACAGTATACCATCTTGAAGTTTTTTCTTATCATTTCCCCTAAAATGCCACAAGCATATTAGTCTGTCTTCCCAGATACAACAGATTTCGTTTAATCTTCTGTTTTGCACCCACAAAACGAAAGCTTGCTAAATGCCTCATTTAGTAGAGAGCCATTTAATTCATTCATTTATTCCTTGTTATGTACAATTCATATTCATAATTTATTCATTTCATTAGGAAGAATCCAATATTTCCAACCAGGAACATTAAGCCTGTGCTGCCCCTCACCTCAACACTACTACTCGTTAAACTCCACGTGTTATAAGTCTGTTACTTACAGTGACTTACAGCGCTCTCCTGCTAGTGCCAAACCCTGGACTGTTCAGGATTCTTAAGTGCCAGCAACAGCAATAGACTCTGAGCAGCACAGGAAGGAAAAGAATGTTTGGAAAGGACGTTGGTACTCACATCCTCACCAGACTTCAGAGCCCATCTCAGAAGTCAAATACTAACAAGGCAGGACAGAGCATTGTCAGAATCACATCACGAAGACAATCTCTCTGGCAAGGACACCGTCAATGCTGTGCAGAACTTGTTATCCAGCTTGCCCCGCGGCTGCCTTGGGAGTTCCATACCAATGTTTCCATCATGCCCCTGCCAACACAGCCGTGTGATACGGTGGCTGCTGCTTCTACAGCCGCTACTCATGGTTTCTCCCTGAGATACTGACGTGGCACACTTGGGGAACAAGAGAGTGAACTGGTTAAATCAGAGAGGCACGGTCATGAATCTAGTCATGAGCCACACTAGGTCATGATTCAAAATCTGGGCAGTTGCATTCAATTGGCAGAGCCCAATTCTAGAGCCTTGAACTGTCAGGGAGGCTGTGACAGCAGCAAGACCTCAGTGCCTTCAGCCTCTTTCACAGATGGAGGGCTTTGCCTTCTCACCAAGACCTGTAAGATGGGGATTTCCCTATCTACATGATAAGATTTCAGATGCTAACCAGCAGCTTTCACACACACACACACACACACACACACACACACACACACAAATATTTTCTGTGTCATCTTATCCTCAAAACAACCCTGCAAGTCCAGTTGTATTAACCCTCATTTCATAGATGCAGAAACTGAGACTCAGAAAGTCAAAGCACATTGCTCTAGGTTACCCAGCTAACAGTGGCATAGACAGGAGGCTGCCTCAAAAGCCCACTGTCATTTCCCTACTCAGAACCCCTCTTCAGGGACTCCTAGAACTTGAAGGAGAGGAGCCCCTTCTGCTTACCTAATGACACAGCTGTGTACACCACATGACTTCTGGGGCATCTCCCTTCTCTGGCCTTCAGCATGGCTAGTGTCAGTTAATGTCTCTGGTTTGGTCTCTCCTGCTGGACTTTAAGTCCATAAAAGTAGGGATAATGTATGACACTCTTTAAATCTCTCCCTAAAGTTCTCACCCAACCCTTATATGTATTTAACAGTAACACTTTCATATTCATTGGTTTACTAGCTTTGACTAAATAGCAAATACATGCTTGAGAGGCAGGTACTGTTTTTCTTAAACTAGCTCCCTGTGACCTCTCTCTGTCTCAGTTTTCCTGGCTAGCAAATGAAACAGGGCAATAGTTGCAATTTTTGTTAATCATTTCTACTATTCTAACAGTCTGAGATCAAATGCCTTAAAATGTCTTTGTGGTGTAAGAAACATGTTCAAGGATTTTATTGCAACTTTCAAGCTCTCGATAACACATAAACTACAGTGTAAGGATTAGTTCTCGGCATCTTTTGTGTTGGTATGACACATATCCAAGCCACCTTGGTTGTGTGGTGGCTAAAGCACTCAGTTAACCAAAAGGGTGGCAGTCTGCTTCTATAAAGATTTATAACTTTAGAAACCTATGAAGCAGTCCTACAGTGTCTTTTAGGGTCTATGAATAGGAATCAACTAGACTGAAGTGGGTTTGGATTTTATGTTTATCACACATATTAAGAGCTCTGGTGGCACAAATGGTTAAGTGCTTGGCTGTGAACTAAAAGGTTGGCAGTTCAAACTCACCCAGAGACACTTTAGCAGAAAGACCTAGTGATCTGCTTTAGAAAGATTATAGCCAAGAGAACCCTATAGGGCAATTCTACTGTCATAACAAGGGGCACAGTAACAGTGGAGATCAACTTGATGGCACCTAACAACAGGACACAGATTCTGCAAGTGCTACCTTTGATGAGAACAATACAGGCTAAAGGCCCCTTCTGGTAGCACAACCAGCCAGTCCTTTTATCTGAATCCACCCACTTGTCAGGATAGCCCATCCCCCTCAACCTGCCCATTGAACCAGAGGTATAGCCTGTGGGGCCAGGAGAGGATGTGTGGCCTTGGAGCCACACTGAAGGGACCTTGAACTCTTTCTCTGATGCTCCCAGCTGTGTGAGTATGTTTCCTGACTCTCTATGGGCCTGGGTTCCCTCATGATTTAGGATTGTCTGAGGATTAAACAAGAAACTTGGAGAAAGCACCTGGCCCGTCAGAGGTGCTCAGTCCCTGTGGCCAGTAGACAAGAAGAAGTCTATTTCTTGTTCTCATTGAGGATCTAGCTAGCGCAGTAGCTATTTCATCAGTGCATTCCCTGGGGTGCAGGACTATTAATACCATTATCATTAATGATTATTAATAACCACAAAAAGGATGCTGCTAACAACTTCTCAGGAGAGACTTGCAGCAGTGAGCTGATAGCTGGTAGAACAACAAGATTTGCGGTGCTGACTTGTGGCCACCACACCAATGCGGGAGGCTGACTTTGGAAAGAAGCCCCCTCCCCCCGCACACACACACCCCGCCCTCCTGTTGTCCTCTGGGGACACACTCAGTAGAAGGACCTCTGACTGGGTAGGGAATAGAAATAAGTGTTTGATGGGGAGGAACCATGACCTGGGAGACACTAGGAGACTCTGTCTACCACATCATCTCCAAGGAGATGGCTGGCCCTTGAGGCTTTGCCTTAAGACTTTTTTTTTTTTCTTTAACTTTATAAAAAATGATGATAAAATACATATAACAGACTTTGATGTTTGACTATACAATTCAGCAGTATGAATTACATTTACTATGTTACACCACCATCACCATTCCTTAGTCTCCCCTCCCTCACTGCTTTTATTTAAAAAAATTTTTAAATCAATTTTGACAGTGGCTCCATGAAGCTAAAAGGCACATTCTATGTACAAAAGGGAATGTTGTTGTTGTTCTCAAGTACCGTGGAGTCGGTTCCGACCCACAGCGACCCTGTACAGGGTTTCCGAGGCTGTAAATCTTTACGGGAGTAGAAAGCCTCATCTTTCTCCTGCGGAACAGCTGGTAGTTTCGAACTGCTAACCTTGAGGTTCACAGCCCGATTCGTAACCACCATGCTGAAGAGTAGATGAAAGTAGTCCTTTGCATCCAAAACCAAACGTGTTGCCATCTAGTATATTGTGACTCATAGCAACCCCATAAGGCAGGGCTGCTGCTCTACAGGGCAGTACATAACGGACCGCGGCATCCCCAGGACTCCTGGCCTTTGTGCCGTCAAGTCAGTTCCTGTATAGCAACCCTGGGTAGGGTTTCTGAGGAGTGGCTGCTGGATTTGAACTGCTGACTTTGCAGTTAGCAATCCAGTGCGTATCCCACAGCGCCACAGCAGGACCAAAAACCTGTTGTCATTGAGTTGTTTCCACTTCATCACAATGCTGTATGTTGTAGAACTGCTCATGGGGTTTCCTTGGATACAACACTAAGGAAGCAGATCACTGGGCTCTTGGTGTGGCGCTGTAGGGTCAGCACTGGACTGTGAACCACAAGGTCAGCAGTTCAAACCCACCAGCTGCTCCTCAGAAACCCTATACATGGGTGCTGTAAGTCAGAACTAACTCAATGGCATTTAACAACAATAAAGCTCACTAGCCCTTTCTTTCACAATATGCTGGGTAGGTTACAACTGCCAACGTTTAGTTAGTATATAAGTGCAAAATATTTGCACTAACTGAAGACCCTTTGTAGAAGATCCAGGGGGATAGTCGTTGTTGTTGTTAAGTGCTGTTGAGTTGATTCCGACCCATAGCGACAGGGTTTCCGAGGCTGTAAATCTTTATGGAAGCAGAGCGCTTTTTCTGCAGTTTCTCCTGCGGAACACCTAGTAGTTTTGAACTGCTGACCATAAGGTTCACAGCCCGATTCGTAACCACTATGCTACCGGAGCTCCTTAGGGGGACAGTATATCCAGGTAATTTCTGGTGCTGGCCCTGGAGCCATGCTGTTGTTGTTGTTAAGTGTTGTTGAATTAGTTCCAATGCAAAATGACCCTGTGTAGGGTTTCTGAGGAGCAACTGGTGGGTTTGAACCCCAATATTGTGGTCAGCAGTCCAGCGTTTATCTTACAACGCCACACCAGGACTCCACTATCTGGGGTCAAATCCCAGCTGTACTGCTTTTTTGTTGTTAGGTGCCATAGAATCAATTTAACTGTTGACCACCAGAGCTCCTCCTGTGCAGCTCTTTAATCCTTTCTCCTCTCATAAAGTGATGATGTTCCCATCACAGGAGGTTGTTGTAAGGATTAGATGAGATACTGCAGGTCTGGCGTGTAGCAGCATGCATCACCTATAAAACCAAACAAACCCATTGCTGTCAATTCCGATTCACAGAGGCCCTGTAGAGCAGAGTAGAACTGCCCCCCAGAGGGTCTCCAAGGCTGTGTGTAATTTTATGGAAACAGACTGCCGCATCTTTTCCCAAAGAGCAGCTGGTGATATTGAACCATCAAACTTTTCAGTTAGCACCTGAGCACTTACCCAGCATGCCACCAGGGTTCCTTGCATCACACATTTTGTTGTTGAAAAGTGCCATCTTGTTGGTTCTGACACAAAGCGACCCTGTATAGAGTTTCCAAGGAGCAGCTAGTGGGTTTAAACTGCCAACCTTGTGCTGAGCAGTCCACTGCATATCCTACAGCGCCATAATTGTTGTTGTTGATTGTTAAGTGCCATCGAATCAGTTCAGACTCATAGCTACCCTGTATCGTGTTTCCAAGGAACGACTGGTGGATTTGAACCACCGACCTTGCAGTTCAAACTGACCTTAAGGTCCAGTGCTTATCCTACAGTGCCACACCAATACTCCTAGTACATGAGAAATAAATGCTTAGTTATACAGACATAAGGAAACTCAGAATTGACTCAATGGTAATTGGTTTGTTTTTGATGGGCTAAACAGACAAGGAAGGTCAGAATGAAACCCAAATCCTGCAGTGTTGCACAAGGAGAGGAAAGACTGGGCTGAGAGAGGGAATCCAACCTCTCTCCTGGCCCCAATACAACTTTGCAGACTGCACTGTGGCCACGCTATGTAACTTCCCACAACTTTTCTATTGCAGCTGAATCGGAGTGATAGTGACAGCTCAACTCTGTCCAGAAAGCCACCTTTCGTTCGTAACTCCCTGGAGCGGCGCAGCGTCCGGATGAAGCGGGTAAGAGTCACCCCAGGGTTGCTCTTGCAAGCATGGTGGTATTTGCAAACAGAAATTTGTGAACTCTAAGGCCTATGCAGGCCCTGGGGAAGGTGACTGTAATGTTATTATCATAACATATAATAACAAAGGGTAACTGTAATGTTATTATCATAACATATAAGGGGCAAGACACTAGGAGTATGAGAATTTGGCCTTGTCTTCCTGGGTCGAAGTCAGAGTCACTAATAACTAGTGACTTAGGGTTAGCAACCTAAACATTAGGGTCATCAATCTGAGAGTGTGCTTTGAAGGGAGCCCACTTCCTGCCAGGTTCTGTTCTGAGGGCCATCCAGCAGACTGGGCATTACAAGCTCTGGCAGATGTCCATGCTAGAAGAAGGCTGGGCACTTCAGAGCCGAACCTGGACTCAAAGCAGCGAGGTATGAATGGGCTTCTCTCAGACCAGCTGGAAACACACAGGACGAGTTATTGGCTGTCCCTGCAGAAAAGCATTGTGCTTCCTTGTGGAGGCTGAGCTGAGGGATCTGAGGGAGAGGGTGTTGTTAGGCAGAGGACCTACTCCTGGTTCTGTCGTTTAGCAGCAGGAGATGATGCCAAGTTGGGCTTTTAGCACAGACTTTAAAGCAGGCTGATGAGTTTGCAGATCCAGAAGTAACCCAGAGCCCAGAATTTCAAAAAAAGAAGGCGGCGGCACATAGTACAAGAGAGAGAAGGGAAAGGAGGCTGAAAGCCTGAAGTAGGAGGAAGCCCTTCTGCATCCCTACAGACCTGCCTACTGATGGTTAGGAGCAGGAGTTTGTCCTTCACCTAACACCATCCAGTGTTCCCTCCCTGAAGCCTTGTCTCCAGGAGGAACCAGTATGAGCAGGGGCGACAGTGCAGAAGCAGAGGAGAGTGGCTGTGGGGAGTGGGGATTGTGGACACAGGCTCAGGTGACAGTGGGGGCTGCCTGTCCACTCTGGGTCCCCAGCCTCACCTTCCCCACTTCTGCTGAAGTTGGCTGGTACTGCAGAGCATCTGAGACACCAAGAGTCCCTCCGGTTGTTGGCAGAATTCATTTCCTTATGTTTTCTTGCTAGGCTTGACCCTTCTTCAGGTCTTTGCCCCATGGCTCTCCCCCTGACCGTTTGCTTCTTCAAGACCAGCAGGAGAATCTCTATCCCTAAAAAGGGCCTTGTTCTGCATTTAAGAACTCACCTGATGTGGTCAGGCCCATCCAGGATAATCTTCATTTTAATTCAGAGCCAACAGATTTGTAACCTAATCAGAGGTGTGACTATCATATTCACTCAAGTGGAGGGGATTATACAAAGTGTATATACCCAAACCAGAACCAAACTCATTGTGTTTGAGTCAATTCCAATGCTTAGCAACCCTATGGGACACCTCATTGGGCAGTCTTAGAGGAAAGAGAAACATGGATTGATGTGACTGCAGTCCACTTGTAATGAGCTAACACCATCCCCACCTGCATAGCCTTCATCAGTCAAATCCCTGCGCACTGAGCGTCTCATTCGTACCTCGCTGGACCTCGAACTGGATCTGCAGGCCACGAGGACCTGGCACAGCCAGCTGACTCAGGAGATCTCGGTGCTGAAGGAGCTCAAGGAGCAACTCGAACAAGCCAAGAGCCACGGAGAGAAGGAGCTGCCACCGTGGTTGCGTGAGGACGAGCGTTTCCGCCTGCTGATGAAGATGCTGGAGAAGCGGGTAAGTGGCCTTCCCGAAAGGCAAGGGAGTGGGGCACATTCTACCCTTGCAGGGGAACCCCTGCCATGAGAGAGGCCAGGGCCTTAACTGGCCCTACAGGGCTCCTCAGTCCAGGCAGGAAGGACCCAAGCAGCCCTGTGCTCTACTGCCATTGAGTCGAGTCAAAGTAACAGTGACCCCGCAAGAGTAGAACTGAGTAGAACGTAGGGTTTTCAAGGCTGAACATCTTTACAGAAGCAGATTACCTTGTGTTTTATCCTTGGAGCAGCTGGTGGGTTCCAAAGGTTAGTAGCCAAGTGCTTAACCAGTACATCACTTGCCCCTTAGTATGCACACATTTATGCTTTCATGTGGTCCTTCATCAAACATATTAGGTACCTACTCTGGCCAGAACACATGCCCTGAAAGAGTCGAGACAGGACTCTGACTTGCCTAGCGCCTGGACATGCAGTTCCACAAAGCAGGCATCTCCAAAGCGGAGGGGAACTCATCATGCCAGGGCTATGTGCTTGCAAGGATGCCCAGGAGGACAAGCCTGACTGTCATCCGTGCCAGGAATGACGGACCTTCACTAGACCTCTTTGTACAGAGCCAGAGCTTGCATAGAGCACTTGACGGGGGCTGCCTACCTGGTTTATTGTGAGGGCCTGAAATTCCAGACCTCCATACAGGCAGTGACGCCTTAGCGCAGCAGGGGAAAGGTGGTGCTGGACACCTTCAGCCTGTGCGAGTGTAAAAGCTTCAAACTGACTCTGACAATTCAGGAATAACAAAAATATTTATTTCTTTTCTGATTTATTGTTTATACCTTATATAATTATAAACAAAGCCCTGGTGTGGCAGTGTAGGTCGGTGGTTCAAACCCACCAGCTGCTCTTGGGAAACTTTCTACAAGTCACTGTGAGTTGGTGACAGCACTTCACAACAACTAATTATTCACAATAAATAGTGATACAAAAAGAGCCATAAGGGAAAGTAGAAAATAGAAAGCTTTAAGAAGGAGAAGGAATTAAATGTACCCCAAACCTAAAGTAACCTAATTACAGTTGTTCATTACCTTATCTCTGAGCTTTCTGGTAGCCAAAGCAGAAAGAGATAAGGAAACAAGTGCATAGATACCCTGGTTGGGGTTTTTTTGTGTTTTTTTTTAAGTGAACTAACAATCTAACTGTATGGCTTTGCTTACCAAGATTCTTTGTGCATTCAATGTCTTCAAGTATATTTGTTGTTGTTAGGTGCCATCAAGTCAGTACCGACTCATAGCCAGCCACCTTATGCATAGCAGAAGAAAACACTGCCCGATCCTGGGCCAACATCACTATTGTTGCCATACTTGAGTATATGGCATCTAGATATTTTAAGACCAACTGTAGTTTGCTCTCACAAGTGCTTACATAAATTTGCATTGCGAGCAAGGTGTTAAATGTTGTACTTAAGGTTCTTACGCTAAACTGAACTGCATGACTTAGAATAGGGTTTCCACCATTTCTTAGTCATTTGACATTGAAGAAGTCCCTAATATGACTGAGCCTCAGTTTCTTCATCTGTGAACTAGAAGATTTATTTTTTAATTCCCCTTCCTGAGTGGCCCTGTGGATTAGATGAGGTTGTGTACGTTTCTCTGAGAAGGCTTTCATGGCTTGTTTCTGATCTAGCAACAGACAATGTGCTTATTCTCCACTCCCGGCTCCATCATTCTGAATAAAGTGGATCCACAGTGGACCAGAAAGAGTGAGAGGGTGCCTGTTCTGTGACCCTCAGACCTTTTGTTATTATTATTCTCTTATTGTCATAAAATAGATATTTAAAAATTGCTTTTTTAAATGTAGGTCGAGTGACACTAATTATGTTCACCTCTGTGCAGCCATTATTACTGCCCATTTCTAAAACGTTTTCATCACTCCAAACTGAAGCTCAGTGCCTCTTCAGCACCAGCTCCCCATTTCCTATTTTCCTCATTCTCTGGCAACCCCTGGCAATCTACTTTCTGTCTGCATTTGGCTATTCTAGATATTCCATGTTAAGTGGGATCATTCAATATTTGTCCTTTTGTGCCTGGCTTACGTCAGTCAAAGGGTCCCTGGTGGTGTAGTGAGTTACTTGTAGAGCTGTGAACCGTGAGGTCAGCAGTTCAAATCCACCAGATGCTCCATGGGAGAAAGATGAGGCTGTCTCTCCCCATGAAGATTTATAGCCTCAGAAACCCTAGGGAGGAGTTCTTCTGTCAGCCCTGCAGGGCCACTAAGAGTCAGAGTCTACAAAAGGCAGTGGGCTTTTTGACTATGTCACTCAACACAAAGTTTTCATTGTTTGTCTATGATGCATCATGAATCAGAATTTCATTTCTGTTTATGGCTGAATAATATGCCACTACAGGGTATATCACCTATTGTTTATCCATTCAGCTATTGATGGACATTTTTTTTTTTTTTTTCGCCATTGTGACTCATACTACAATGCAAATTAGTGTCCAAGTGAGCCTCAGACCTTTTGATAGACTCTTCATAGGTGTCAGAAAGTTCTCCCTGGGGTTCCCTCTACCATTCAGTGCCTGGCTTATTTGACCCTACAGATGGACCGAGCCGAGCACAAGGGTGAGCTTCAGACAGACAAGATGATGAGGGCGGCTGCAAAGGATGTCCACAGACTTCGCGGCCAAAGCTGTAAGGAGCCCCCAGAAGTGCAGTCTTTCAGGTAAGGCCATTGGGCACAGACCAGCTTCCCTTTCCCTTCCCCACCAGCCTCAGTCTGCTCACAGCCTCACCATTCCCCACCCCCTTCTCATCTAGTAGGTCACCAGCTCTCTCTGTAACAGATGTGTTTCCTCTGCCAAGCTGTCCCTGGTGATCTATGAGCTCTTCAGTGTCTTCCCTCAGCTGTCTTTATCAGTACCCAAACAATTCCAGCTCATTTGTTAGATCCTGTTGTTGAATGAATGAGCCACCTGCTCCGGCCTTGCCTCTGAACGTTTCCGTCACTGGTAATTGCGGAGGATTGGCTGAATGATAAATATACCTGGGGGTGACGTATGCTCTCTGGGCCTCCCTGGCTCTGCCTGCTGCCTGCCAGCATCTCAAAGAGGTGGTGTCTCGCTACACTGGACCCAGACACTTCACAAGAGGCTCATGAAGGTCATTTGGCTCAGGCTTCCCATTCATAGGAGGCTTTGCTTTGAGACTGCTGATGATCTCAAATAGGATACATACATGCATACATGTGTGTTCTTAAAGACACATTATTTTGTGGAGCATAGACTTTTTAAAAAAAAAACTGCTGTAATTTTTATAACTATATTTGAACATCTCTGAACTTTTTAACAAACTAGGAATCTAAAACAAACACTGAAGGTAGTCCAGTTGATGTCAAGTCAGCTCCATCATGCAACAGAGTAGAACTGTGTTCTGTAATGTTTTAATGTCCAGTGTATCAGAAGATTACCAGACCTTTCTTTGGAGGCCCTGAAGTGAAGTAGGTGAACTAGAACTTCCAAACTTTTGGTTAGCACCAGAGCATGTTAAACGTTTACACCACATGAGGGGACTCTGGCTATATAGCCCAAGAATCCTTTTGATCTGAGATGCCCCCTTCCCCTCTGATTCGAATTGGAAACCCAGCTCTAAGAAGTGGTGGTATCTTTTACAGGGAGAAGATGGCATTTTTCACCCGACCTCGAATGAATATCCCCACGCTCTCTGCAGATGATGTCTAATAGCCAGAAAAGTATTTCCTTGGTTCCACTGACCACGCTGTGAATACACTTGACTGTGGCTAAAGTTATTTATGTGGTGTTATATGAAGGTACCGAGTCACAAGTACTCTTGTTGGTTTGAAGATGAAACAGATTTTTTTTTTTTTTTTTTTTTAAGCTTGGGTCTTTTTGTTAATATTAAAACAAACAAACAAAACCAGCATTCAAATGACCAGATTGTATAGTTTGTATATTTAGGAATGTATTTTTGGGAAAGAAAAATTAAATGAACTAAAGCAGTGTTAAGTTGCTGCTCTTCTTAAATTGTTTAGATTTTTTTTTTTTCTTTTTGTACAGCTCTATCTTTTAGAGGTTTTACTGCAATAAGTATGTGTGGGGGACGCTAATCCTAACAGGACGTCCTGCGGAGGTCACAGCACAGCTGACTTTTCCTAGTTAACATATTTTGTACAATGTTTAAAAATAATAATAATAATTGCACAGGAACTGTTTGGGGGATTCTGAGGTAGATACTTCCGGGAATCGTCATGAGCTGTGATGTGTTTGTACTTGGCTGCCTGACTTGGAATGGGCCGGGTGGAACTGGGTGAGCACCCTAAACCTCTGCTGGCCACAGGCCCATCCACACCGGTCCCAGATGCCCAGTGAAACCACTGAAGTGAGGGGAGGGCTGTGTAGATCTCATGCGGTTTGCATCAATAAAGTGGCCTTTCTGAAAGAATGCTCTTTCTCTCTTTTTCTGCACCCCACCCCGCCCTATCCCCTTCACCTCATCTCTGTTTTCTTCAGGTTTGACTCCCCTTCCCCAGCCATTTCCTTCCCATCCAACCCCAGTCCTGAAACATCTATGGTTTTGTTTTCTCTTGCATTCACTTGCTCGGTAAATTAAAATGACTGCTTAGCTGGGGCTGTTGTGGTCAATTGGATGTTAACCTTTGACAAACATACTGCAACAATAACAGCATCTTTTCCTCCTTTCTTTCTTGGAAATTATCCTGTGCAACTTTTCTCAAAATATGTTGCACACCTGGCTATATCAGAATCGTGTGAGAAAGCTGGTTAGCAATGTAGATTCCCAGACCCCTCCCTAGACAAGCTGAAGGCCCTGCTCTGGAACGGACCCAGAGACTTACACTGTAACCATGTGCCTTCAGTCAGTCTGATGCACGCTGCAGCTTAGGACCCAACAGCATCCTGTGCAAAAGAGCCCAGGCAGAGATGGAGATGGGTAGTAAGACCTCTAACCCTGTGGTGGGTCACGTGGGGAGGATCTCTGTGCATGGTCTTCTCTAGGCCACAGGGAGGGACAGATCCAGAGAGTGGAACCCCCTCTACTTGACTGTTGAGACGCTCCCCACCCACCCCACCCCTACATTCCTTACATGGGAGTTTCTCCTCAAGAAGAAAGAACCTACAATGGCTTAAACAACCACACACACACACATACACACCCGCCTTTTCCCCACATGGCTTGGAGACCCTTCAGCTGTCCAGCCCAGCTTCCCCACACAGAGCCTGGAGCCTCATCCTCCATGGCTTCACATCTCAGAACTCACCAGTCTCTACTGATCTGGCTCCTTCTGTGGAATACTGGGAGCGTGTGTCAGTTTTTCACACATGCATCTGCATTGTCCTCAGTTCAATATTCACAGTTCTGGTCAGTCTGCAAAGTCAGTTTAAGCCATAGGTCAGCAGTTCAAACCTACCAGCTGTTCCTCAGAAACCTTACATAGTGTCGCTGTGTGTTGGAACCGACTCAGCGGCACTTAGCAATAACAAGAGCTCACATATTATATCTTATGCTGCTTTTATGGCCCCTTAATGCCTAGCTGTTTTTGGACTTCTGGTTTGGCACTGTAGGATCAGCACTGGACTCCGAACCACAAAGTTGGTAGTTTAAACCCACCAGCTTGCCATGACTCAGCATCAACTCAATGACACTTCACAACAACAATGCCTAGCACAGCCCAGAGCTTTGAAGAAACTGCTCTCTTGCTAATCCTACAAACTTTTCTGTCCTTCTGTTAAAGGTTCTGGCCACAGCAGTGGTCCACCCCATTGAATAGACCAGGGATGAGCATGCCACCCCAGCTGGGCCCATCAGTGACCTTCTCTAGCATCTTCCACTTGAAGTTTAAAAACCAAGGTCATTGCCGTCGATTCCAACTCACAGTGACTCCATGGGACACAGTAGAGCTGCACTGTATTTTCTTGACTGTAATCTTTATGGGGGTCTTTCAACATTTCTTGGTACAAATGGTTAAGCACTGGATTGCTCACTGAAAGGCTGGCAGTTCAAGCTCACCCAGAGGTGCCTTTTGAAACAACCTGGCAGTCTGTTCCCAAAAGGTCACAACCTTGGAAACCCTGAGGAGTTCTACTCTGCCCACATGGAGTCTCCATGGGTTGAAATCAGTCGATTTGACAGCAGCTAACAACAGCGGCGATCTTTATGAACGTACATCATTAGGCCTTCTGTGGTACTTCTGGGTGGGTGCTCAAGCCCTGACCTTTAGGTTAATATTCAAGTGCTAGCTGTTTGCACCATCTAGGGACTTTACTGAGGGTCATTATTGTTGCTGTTAGGTGCCATAAAGTGGGTTTCGATTCATCATGACCTCATATGTCCGAGTAGAACTGTCCCATGGGGTTTCCTAAGCTGCAATCTTTATGGGAACAGGTTGCCCGGTTTTTTCTGTTAGGGACTACATTCTTTTCTTCCCAAAGCTACTTGTGGCTCTGACTTTGTGGGACCAACAGCCTAGGAAAATTAAATGAACCTACAGAGAGAAGCGGATACTACAAGAGGCAGGTAAAGAAGGCTGTCCTGGGGGTGTTTGGGGCCTGAATTCACTAACACCAGAAGTCACCAGCACTCTAGCCCTGTTTGTTTGGTGAATCTAATCAAGGAGTCCTGGTCAGAACAAGAGCACAGTAATCACATGACATCTCTCCCAACAAGGACCAGCCCCTCTCAGCCCTGCAGTATCTGCATCTAGGAAGCAAAGCTCTAAATACCCCACCTGTGCATGGGGTAAAGGAGCACTGGTAGTGCTGTGGTGAAAGCGCTCAACTGCTAACTGAATGGTCGATAGGTTGAACCCACCAGCTGCTCCGCAGGAGAAAGACACAGCAGTCTAATTCCATAAAAACTGTAGCCTTGGAAACGCTAGCAGAGAGTTCTGTGCCCTACAGGGTTGCTGTGAGTTGGAATTGCCTCGACAGCAGCGGGGGTTTGGGTTTGGTGCCTGAGAAAAGCTAAAGTGGAGCAAGTTCTCCTTCCAGGAGGAGTGTGATGTGGCGCCCTCTAGCTGATAGGAGGAGAGCCTCCGAGGAAAGACCTAGTCAGGGCATTGAATTCTCTACAAATGGCTCACTGGCAAGCCATCAACATGTGTTGCTTGCCTAGCACACATGTTGTTGTTGTTATGTGCTGTGGAGTCAGTTCCGACTCACAGCGACCCTGCACAGGGTTTCCAAGGCTGTAAATCTTTACGGGAGCAGAAAGTCTCATTTTTCTCCTGTGGAACAGCTGGTAGTTTTGAACTGCTGACCGTGAGATTAGCAGACTGATTCGTAACCATTATACTACTTAGCACACATACATACACACAAATTAAAGCCTAAATTTAAATTTTTTCTACTTGTAATCCTACATATGTCTTCTCCAAAATCTTCAGGAAACAAAAACCCAGAAATGTGAAATGACCTGCTCAAGGTCACTCAGATAAGACATGGTGGAGCTAACATGTAAATCCATTCTGACTCCACAATCACTCCACTTCAGTTTCTGTTTCACTTGAGGCCCTGATTGTAGGGACTTTGAACCTTTGGTGTTGAACGAGGAAGTCATGAAGTCTGGTGGCTTCTCTGCATGAGGGCAGGGATAAGTGTGGGGTGACTAGGACAGAAGTCTGAAGAAAGACACTCAACAAACCTTGCTGGATCTGATCGCCTGTTTCATAAAACCAACAGTTGGCCTTTTGATGAATGCTCTTTTGTAATAGACACACTGGTGGTCTTTGTGTTTCGCCCTTCCAAGATACCTGGCTAAGATTCTTCCAGTTGCATGTCTCCTTGTTAACCAGACTCCAGTTTGTTTGTTTTTTAATTCCTTATACCCGCCACAGGGCCTTTGCAGTTCTGGTTCCTTCTGTCTGGTACACTCTTCCTCCAGGTCTTCAAACCACCTTCATATGGCTGGCTCTATCACCAATCAGATCTCATCTCAAGCCTCACCTCAACCTCGGTGTCCTATCCAACAGCAGCCCCCAGTAGTCACTCTCTGACACAGTAACCTGATTTGTTTGCTTCAGAGAACACACCCTCTTTGTAATAATCTTGTTACATGCTCATCACCTATCTCTCCCCTCTAGAATGTAAGCTCTTAAAGCAGGGACCTTGCCTGTCTTGTTTTTGGTTGGATCTGATGCAGAATGGGTCCTTAATAAATATTTATGCAATGAATCAATGAATGAATGTCATGAAACATCTGCCCCCAAGGTGGACTGTCTCTTTTCCTTTGTCATTCCTCATCAGGACACAAGGAAGGTTCTGGATGAAACAGGAGTACTAAAGGTACCAGGGTACAGACCCTTTCCTGATCCCCCCTTCCCCACCCCTGAGACAAAAGCCATGATTAAGAGTTCTAGCACGCAAACATGTTTAAATTCTTCTAAAGAAAATACCTAGGTTATTTACCCTAAAATATCAATCTCTCTCTTTTTTTTTTTTTTAACCATTGCATTCTTTAATAGGAGTCCTGGTGTGGCGCTATAGGATAAACACTGGACTGCCAACTCTAAGGTCAGAAGTTCAAACCCACCAGCCACTCCTCAGAAACCCTATTCAGATTCACTATGAGTTGGAGCCAACACGACAGCACTTAACAGCAACAACATTCCTTAATAAGTAATTTTATTAGTTCAGTAGCCAATGTTTATATGCTAAATAAAATCCATAAGGCACACAAAGCTACTCATTCATGCCCAGGAACTATT